AAGACCCCAGACACTACTCACCAAGGTAGAATGTAGAGCATTGTCTTTATAAGCTGTGTCATGCCAATTGAGCTAGATGTTCCCCGAGACCATTCCCCACAGCCCTGGGAGGGCTAAGATTTTTGCTGACTTGTTCCTTACTGTATCCAACCACTAGGAACACTTCTTGGCAAATAGTAGGTGCTCTGAAAATACGTTGATTAAACGAAAGAATGAATAAAAATAAAAGGCTTTGAAGCAATGTATTTTGAAGTAATTTACAGGAAGCTGAGAAGTAATGTTGACATCAAAGTAATTTGGTTTAAAAAAACAAATGTATGTAAACATTTAGCACAAACCACTTGCTCAATATCTGATTTATATGTAACTCATCTGTTTTTCTCCCAGCGTGATCCTAAATTAGAATGGTTAAAGGTGATATTGTAGAGTGTGGTATTTGTAGATCCTGTGTACGTATCCAAACAAAAATAGAAAGTTTCCTGTCTGGAATGATTTACTGATACCCTGACACACATGATACAGCCAGGCTTGTCTGAGAAATCCAGGTTAAGTCTGGCTATTTTTAATGTAAAGGAAATGCTTCATATTTCATTTTTTATAGTATCTTTAAGGTACATGTCAAACGCTCCTGCCTCCATTGGGAAAAAAAATCATTCCATGAATAGCTGTATAGTTTGAAATTGTGTGCATTTTTGGCACAATGGTTAAAACACTTGGCTGCTAACGGAGAGGTTGATGGTTCAAACCCTATGGGGCAGTTCTACTCTGTCCTGTGGGGTCACTGAGTCAAAATTGACTCAGTGGCAGTGGGGTTGTTTTTTGTTTTTTTTTTTTGTTAATGCTATAAATATTTTTTAACTTCGTAAAATGGTTTAATTAATTAAAACGAATAACCAAAACAAACACACTGCAGTCAAGTTGATTCTGACTCATAGCGACCCCATAGGGTTCCAAGGCTGTAAATCTGTATGGAAGCAGGCTGCCCGTCTTTCCCCCATGGAGCTGCTGGTGGTTTCAAACCACTGACCTTTTCAGTTAGCAGTCGAATACTTTAACCACTGCACCACCAGGCCTTCTTAAAGGAATAACGTAGATCCTAAACTTTACAAAAGAAAATTTCTATGACATTGAAATATTTAGCCCAAAACTTAAGTAGAAAAAAAATCTTTGCTGCTTTCCAAATTCGTAACACAAACTCATCTTTTTTGACATACCTAGTCCAAACAACTACTGTCCAAATGTCCACAGTCCTGCTAACAATGTTAAAAATATAATCTTAGTATAATAAATGTTATCTACAAAACTGATAAACCAAAACACGCAAAGTCATGTTCAAATGTTATATGAACATAATGTGTCGGAAGAGTCAATTTAGCTCTTCCTTTTGGTTGATTTCTTCACCTCTTTATGCTTCTTTTTTTTTTCTCTTACCACCTTCTTTGAATCTTGCTGAGAAAATGGAGGGATCCCAGCTGTTCGTGACCCAAGGTATACCTTGCTCATCATTGTCTACAAAAGTATACTGAGGTACATACATGTTTGGAACTGCAGGAATTTGATGAATAGTTGCTGAATGACTGTCTTCTCCAGCTGCATTCTTCTGCAAAGCCCTCTTCATCTGCCATACCATTTATCAGGAAGGACTTCAACTCACCATCGTCTTCAACTTCTTCTCTTTCTTGGTCATTCTCAGTTATTCTCCTTACATTGATATTTCCGCCATTAACTGTCTTACCTGAAGTTGTAACACATATGTAGTTGCCCATCCCGTTATCATCGAATGTCATGGAAGAGAATGAAGTATGGCCCTCATGCCCCAGTGAACCAGATGATGTATATCCTCTATCATAGGAAGAAAATCTACTCTCAAAAGCTGGGTATTCACTAAAGGTAGACAAAAAAGATTCTGCACCTCTGCTGCTTCTGCTTCCATAGGGGCGTCTTGGAGTATTTAAAAGGTCCTCAAGTGAGTCTTCAAAGAAGTCAAACGAAAATGGGTTCCTTTGACCAAAAAATTCTTTAAAAACATTGTCTGGCCTACAGACTCTGAAGCTGTTCTCACAAGGATCATCAAAATGACTTCCACTTCCACCATTTAATCCTTCTTTGCCATATTTATCATAAAATGTCTCGTTTTTCAACATTTGATAACACCTCGTATGCCTCAGCTGCTTCTTTAAATCTTCTGTCTGCTGCTTCTTTATTTTCTGCATTTTTATCAGGGTGCCATTTAAGAGCCACTTTGTGATAAGCCTTTTTAATGTCCTCAGGTGAAGCATATCTCTGTACTCCTAGAACTTCATAGTAATCCACCATGTTTTAACAGGTTATTGGAAAGGGGTGCTCTGGGTAGCGAGGACTCTGGTTCCTCTCAGCTCAGGCTCTGCTGGTGGTGGTGGTAGAGGCAGTGACTGCAACTAGTCACTGTTTACATTAAACATAAGGTCATTACCATGGACCAATGCTAGGAGATGTTAGGATACTGATTATGTGGCAAGCAGGGTTACATGCTTATGTCAGTGAGGGCAGCATTATGGTGTCATTCTGGGGTTAAGGTAGGGACTCAACCTTCCAAATGGAGCTAGTCCAGAGTCATACCAGACCATCTTGAACCCCTGGACTATTTCCCCTATATTTCCTTGGAAGTCTCAGACAATGCCTCATAAAACAATGAGACCTGTTGCTAATGGCCACCACATTCCCCTTGGATCATATAACCTCTAGGTTACTGGGCCTAGGTAACTTACCATGTTTTGGTTTGGAAAAATGTGAAAAATTGGTGAACTAGGTGAAAAAAGTATTCAAGTAGTTGACATTTGTTTATGTCAGTCAAGAGACACAGTTTGGTCGGGGATACAAACAAGGCGATTACAATATTTGGGATATAAAGGAGAAAGTGCTGGGTGCAAATCAATCATATGAGAGACACCTAAGCCAGATGGGATATCAGGGAAGGCTTCCTGGAGGAAGTAGCCTAATATGCAAGCTTTCTGCATGCCAGTGGTTTGTCATTTGAAATGATGGCATGTTTGCCCACCTAAAGTTTGATACTGTAACACATGTAGTGAAATTCTTAAAACTTAGTTAATTTTACTTCTCTTAGTACATACACTTACATGTATGCCTGTATGTGTGATATACACCTGATTACATCTGCCTGCTATGAAAATGACAGTAATAATAATATTGAACTTTATTTGAGCACCCTGTTAGGGGGAGACACTGTACTAAGTGATTTATTACAGTTTTTCATTTGCCACAGCATTCCAGCAAAATAAAGAATTTATGCCCATGAGAAAACTGAGGTTCTGAGAGATAAAAGTAATTTGCCTAAGGTTACATAGCTTGTTAGTGGAAAATCTGATATTTAAAGTTGAGTCTGTCTAATTCCATTTCTGCTCTTTCCACTCTATCAGATTTCTTGTACTAGGACTTCAGAGTCCTAAGTTCTAGACAGTCCAGAAACACGTACTGAGAGCCATGACACAGGAGTTAGAAAACAGGAAATTCTGCTTTCAAAGAACTCACAATTGGAAGAAGCACTTTGGAAAAAAAAATTTCAATAGAGTATAAAAGTGTAACAGGAGGACTGGCTTCTGGGATTATTTTGCTTTTCTCAACCCCTCGCCCCATTCTCTGATTTCTTTCACAACAAAACTTCTCAAAAGTGTTGTCTCTACTCATTTCTGTGCTTCCTTACATCCTTTCTCTCTTGGGCACACACCCGTCTGGTTTCTGTCTTCTATACTAAAATTGTTTTTGCCATAGTCTTGAACCCAACCAAACCCGTTGCTGTTGAGTCAGTTCCAACTCACGGCGACCCTATGTGTTCCCGAGTAGAACTGCACTCCATAGGGTTTTCAAGTGTTAACCTTCTGGAAGCAGTTCTCCAGGCCTGCTCTGAGGCCCCTGGGTAGTTTGGAACTGCCAGCCTTTTGGTTAGTAGTCCAGTGCTTAACTGTGCCACCCAGGGACTGACTCCCAACAAACCAAACCAGTTGCTGTTGAGTTAGAACCAAATGATGGCAACTCCCTGTGTGTCAGAGTAGAACTGTGCTCCTTAGGGTTTTCACTGGCTGATTTTTCGGAAGTAGAATGCCAGGCCTTTCTTCCAAGGCAGCTCTGGGACTCCAACCTTTCAGGTAGCGGCCAAGCTCTTAACGATTTTTGCCACCCAGTGACTCCTTCAGGATCTCCAGTGACTTCCATATTGCCAAATCCAGTAGTTGTCCTTTTGACCTCCTCATACTTAGTTTTGCCTGACATGGTCAAGCACTTCCCCCTTCTTAAAACACTTTTGTTTCTTTAGCTTCCTGCATACCACATTCTTTTAGTTTTTTTCCTTTCTCTTGTGCTGGCTTCTGCTCACCCTAGAATGTGTTGGTACTGAACTTTATCTACGCAATCTTCCTAGACACTATCCAGTCCCAGATCTTTAAATACCATCTATATGCTTATGACACCTCAATTTATGTGTCTTTTAATTTTTTCCCCAGAACTTCAGACTGACTCTGACCTCTCCATTGGAGTGGCCAAGAAGTATCTCAGTTTTCCCCATTTTATATAATAATACCACCATGCATCCACTTTGTTCAGGCCAAAAACCTGGGAATCATTCTTAATTCCTCATTTTTCTTTACTCCTCACATCCAGTTAAAGAGCTAGTGTCGTTGGCTTTAACTTGAACATATATCCCAAACCCAATCACTGGGAAAATAGTCAAATGACAAATGATTCCCACCTTCCGAAAGTTTCTGGTAACCTGGCAAACTAATTAGCAACTATATGCAGTGTAGTAGGTATTAAAGTAGAAGTAAGCACAGGAGCACTGAGGAAGGGCGTCTGCATCAGAAGCAGTAGGTGTGGGAGGGTAAGAGAAGCGTCCTAGCTAAAGTGATGTTTGAGCTGATTTTCAAGAAGTTGGGTAAATAACGAACCAGGCCAAGCCATTGTAGACCAAGAGAACTGCATTTTTGAAGGGATGCTGTTAATGACCCAGAATGATTGATTAACTGGGGCTCTTCAAGTAGTTTAGTGTGGCTACAATAACGTTTTTTGAGAATTACGTTAGAGGAGTAAGCAGGAGCTAGATCATGAGGGTGCTAATAAGCTAAAGAGTTTGAGCTTATTCTGAAAGTTTAAGCATATAGTGTTAGTGTAGGAGGCTGAAAAGATAAGGAAAGATCCTGGAATTTGAACTTGATGCAGTTAATAGATTTTAATTAAAGAGTTTTAGGCTAGAGGAAATAGTATCGCCTGTAGAAGATGAAGAGGAGAGACAAGACTGAAGACAGGCAGATTATTGCAGTAAGTAGTCCAACTGAATTGAGGAGGGCTTAAATCAAGGCAATGGCTTTGAGAGTCAACTGGCTGTTTCAGAAGTGTTGTAGAGTGCCATCGAGTTGATTCCGACTCATAGTGACCCTATAATACAGAGTAGAACTGCCTTACAGGGTTTCCTAGGCTGTAATCTTTACAGGGTGGCACAGTGGGTAAGAGCTCGGCTAGTAACTGAAAGATCGGCAGTTCAAATCCACCAGCTGCTCCTTGGAAACCCTATGGGGAGTTCTTCTCTGTCCTGTAGGGTTGCTGTGAGTTGGAATTGACTCGACAGCAAAGGGTTTTAGGTAATCTTTACAGGAGCAGATCACCAGGTCTGGTGGAGCGACTAGTGAGTTCAAACAGCTGACTTTTTGGTTAGCAGCTAAGCGCTTAACCATTACACCACCCAGGCTCTTTTTTTTTTTAGAAGTAGGATTTAACATACTAGCTTTGCTATTGACTAGCTATATGACCTTCGGCAAAAAAAACTGTTTAGTTGAATGTAGATAAAGAGCAATTGAAACTTTATTTTTTAATTTACTGAAAATAAACATTTCAATTTATATCTTATGTTAAAGTGTTGTTTGTTTTGCATTTGTGCTTAGGAGTGCTCCAAATAGAAGGAATGGCTATGTTAATATTATCTGAGAATTGATTAACTTTTACATTCAATTATTTTAGCACTGAAATGGTAGTGTAGTCTAGTGGTTATGGGCTCTAGAAATAGATTATTGTTTGAATCCTTGTTGATCTTCAAGTTACTTAACCTCTCTGTGCATCTTTTTTCTCATCTGTAAAATGGAAAATACTCTAATAGTATCTACCTCAAACATAGAATGCTACTATTTGTTTAAAAACGGGGTAGCAAGAAATAGATTGCTTTCATGTGGATAAAATATTTTTGGATGTATACACAAAAAGTGGTAACACTGACTGCCTCAAGGGAGGGGAACAGGGTAGTGTGGGAGCAGGTGTAGAAGGAAGGCTTTTCTCTGTAAAACCCCTTTAGTATCTTTTAATTTTGATCCATGTGAATATGTTACCAGTTCAAAAATTAGTTCATTAAAAATAGTACTTACCTTACACAGTTATAAGGATTAAATAAGTTAATACATGCAAAGTGCTTAGAATATTTTCTGGAATACAATAAAAACTGAATAAATACTAGCTACTATCATCATGATCACAGTACTAACCAACTGTCATTTAAAAGCATGGACTATACTGTGCATCTACTGTTTGTTTTAATAAGGAAAAATATAACAGTATCCTACATTTTGTGAGTTTTGATTAGGAGAAGAGTTTTTTTAAAGGTGAAAAAAAGCTGAGATAGTTCTGCTAAAGTTCCAGTTTTACTCCTTATCTTTATACTCCTTCATCCCAGTCACTCTACCAACACGTTCTTGTACGTGGACAACCCACGATCAACTCTTCCCTGTGCCTTCTCTTTACTTTCAATACAAATGTCAAGGGTCAAGTAACTAAAAAAATTAAGTAGGCCAAAGACTGCTATATTTTGGGAAAGGTTATTTCTGTGAGTGTCTGCAAGTAAGAATGTAGGGAATCTAGTCCTTAGGTGGGTAGGAAGAGGTTTTTCCTGCCAAAGTAGATTATCATTATTATTATTATTATTATTTTAAGTTTTGATCCCATCTCACTAAACCAGTATTTCTCAAACATTTTGATCTCAGGATCCCTTTACACTCTTAAAAATTTTGAGGACCCCCCTCTTTCCCCATACCTTTAGCTGGAGGGGGGCCTCAATAAACAGATGTAGACTTTTAGTGCAGTGTCTTTCATGCTGTGGGCTGTAATCTAGGTCATTGTATTGGTTTCCTGAGGCACCTTAACAAATTACTGCAAACTTCGTGGCTTACAGCAGAAGTGCTTTCTCACAGCTCCAGAGGCCAGAATTCTGAAATCAACGTGTCAGCAGGGTTTCTACCAAAGTCTCTGAAGGAGAATCCATTCTTGGTTTCTTCCAGCTTCTGGTGGCTTTAAGTGTTGACTTGTGGCCATATCACTCCAGTCTCTGCTTCCATGGTTCTGTTGCCTCCTCTGTCTCAACTCTCCCTCTGCCTTTCTCTTCTAAGGATACTTGTCATTGGATTTAGGGCCTATGTTGATTATATAGAATGATCTCATCTCAAGATCCTTAATTTTATTATATCTGCAAAGATTGTTTTTCCAAAAAAAGTAACATTCACTGGTACTAGAGATTAAGACATGGATATATCTTTTTGGAGCCACCATTCAAGCCACTAAAGTCATAAAATCATTTTAATTTGTGCATTGAGGCAAACTGTTTTTTAGTGGGATGTTGTTGTTAGGTCATGTTGAGTTGGTTCTGACTCATAGTGCAGCAGAATGAAACACTGCTTGGTCCTGTGCCATCCTTAAAATCATTGTTATGCTTGAGCCCATTGTTGCAGCCACTGTGTCAATCCATCTCATTGAGGGGCTTCCTCTTTTTCATTGACCCTCTACTTTACCAAGCATGATGTCCCTTCTCCAGGGACTGATCCCTCCTGATAACATATCCAAAGTATGTGAGACGTAGTCTCACCATCCCCGCATCTAAGGAGCATTCTGGTTGTACTTCTTTCAAGACAGATTTGTTCGTTCTTTTGGCAGTCCGTGGTATATTCAGTATTCGTCACCAGCACCACAATTCAAAGGCATCGATTCTTCTTCAGTCTTCCTTATCCATTGTCCAGCTTTCGCATGCATATGAGACAATTGAAAACACCATGGCTTGGGTTAGGTGCACCTTAGTCTTCAAGGTGACATCTTTGCTTTCAGCACTTTAAAGAGGTCTTTTGCAGCAGATTTGCCCATTGCAATGCATTGTTTGATTTCTTGACTGCTGCTTCCATGGGCATTGATTGTGGATCCAAGTAAAATGAAATCCTTGACAACTTCAATCTTTTCTCCATTTATCATGATGTTGCTTATTGGTCCATTTGTGAGAATTTTTGTTTTCCTGTCTTAAGGTGTAATCCATACTGAAGGCTATGGTCTCTAATCTTCATCAGTGTTTCGAGTGCTCTTCACTTTCAGCAAGCAAGGTTATGTCATCTGTATAATGCAGGTTGTTAATGAGTCTTCCCCCAATTCTGATGCCCCATTCTTCTTCTTATAGTCCAGCTTCTCAGATAGTTTGCTCAGCATACAGATTGAATAGGTATAACGAAAGGATACAACCCTGACGCACACCTTTCCTGACTTTAAATCACGCAGTATCCCCTTGTTCTCTTTGAACGACTGCCTCTTGATCTATGTACAGGTACCTCATGAGCACAATTAAGTGTTCTGGAGTTCCCATTCTTTGCAATGCTATCCATAATTTGTTATGATCCAGATAGTTGAATGCCTTTGCGTAGTCAGTAAAACACAGGTAAACATCTTTTTAGTACTCTCTGCTTTCAGCTAGGCCCCATCTGACATCAGCAATGATATCCATGGTTCCACGTCCTCTTCTGAATCTGGCTTGAATTTCTGGCAGTTCCCTGTTGCTATACTGCTGTAGCTGCATTTGAATTCTTAGCTCAGTAGTGAGCTGAAATGGACTGATCTTGGCCTTTTTTTTTTTCTTTTGTTTATTGTTGTAGTTTAAGTGAAAATTTACATTTCAAGTTAGTCTCTTATACAAAAATTTATACATACATTGTTATGTGACCCTAATTGCTCTGCCTGTACTGTGGCAGCACTCTCCTCCTTTCCACCCCTGATTTCCCATGTCCATTCAACTAGCTCCTAATCCTCTCTATCTTCTCATCTCACCTTCAGACAGAAGCTGCCCGTTTAGTCTCATGTATTTACTTGAGCTAAGAAGCACACTCTTCACGAGTATCATTTTATGTCCCACAGTCCAGTCCAATCTTTGTCTGAAGAGTTGGCTTCACGAATTGTTTTAGTTCTGGGCTGACAGAGTGTCCAGGCGCCATGCTTTCTGGGGTTTGTCCAGTCTAAGTCAGACCATTAAGTCTGGTCTTTTTATTAGAATTTGAGTTCTGCTGCCCACCTTTCTCCTGCTTCATCCAGAACTCTCTGTTGTGTTCCCTGTCAGGGCAGTCATTGGTGGTAGCTGGGCACCATCTAGTCCTTCTGGTCTCAGGCTGATGAAGTCTCTGGTTTATGTGGCCCTTTCTGTCTCTTGGGCCAGTACTTTCCTTGTGTCTTTGGTGTCCTTCATTCTCCTTTACTCCAGGTGGTTGGGACCAATTGATGTATCTTAGATGGCCGCTTGCAAGCTTTTAAGACCCCAGACGCCACATACCAAAGTAGGATGCAGAACATTTTTTTAATAAGCTTTGTTATGCCAGTTGACCTAAATGTCCCCTGAAAGCATGGTCCCCAGATCCCCACCCCTGCTACTCTGTCCCTCAAAGTGTTTGACTGTATTCAGGAAACTTCTTAGCTTTTGTTTCGTCCAGTCGTGCTGATTTCCCCGGTATTGTGTGCTGTCCTTCCCTTCACCTAAGATAATTCTCGTCTACTATCTAGTTAGTGAATAACCCTCACCCTCCCTCCTCACCCTTGTAACCATCAAAGAATGTTTTCTTCTGTGTTTAGACCTTGAGTTTTTGTAATAGTGGTCTTGTACAATATTTGTCCACCTGTGACTGACTGAATTCACTCAGCATAATGCCCTCCAGATTCCTCCATGTTTCATGGCTTCATCATTGTTCTTTATCGTTGCATAGTATTCCATTGTGTGGATATATCATAATTTGTTTATCCATTCATCCCGTTGATGGTCACCTAGGTTGTTTCCATCTTTTTGCTATCATGAACAGTGCTGCAATGAATGTGGGTGTGCACGTATCTATTTGTGTGATGGCTCTTATTTCTCTAGGATATATTTCAGGATTCCTGGATCATATGGTACTATTTCTAGCTTTTTAAGGAAGCACCAAATCGATTTCCAAAGTGGTTGTACCATTTTACATTCCCACCAACAGTGTATAAGTGTTCCAGTCTCTCCACAACCTCTCCAGCATTTATTGTGTTTTTTGGATTAATGCTAGCCTTGTTGGGGTGAGATGATATCTCATTGTAGTTTTGATCTGCATTTCTCTAATGGCTAATAATCGTGAGCATTTCTTCATGTGTCTGTTAGCCACCTGAATATCTTCTTTGGCGAAGTGCCTGTTCATATCCTTTGATATTGGCCATTTTGAATCTGGACCATCATATGGCCTGCTATGATGGGAATGACAGTTTGAAGAGAAATGGCATTGCATTCATTATCAAAAAGAACATTTCAAGATCTATCCCAAGGTACAATGGCTGTCAGTGATAGGATAATATCCATACACCTACAAGGAAGACTTTAGTGGGATAGAACAGAAAAAATAATCAGTGCATTAGTGTCTTAGTTATCTAATGCTGGTATATCAGAAATATCACAAGTGGGTGGCTTTAACAAACAGCAATTTATTTTCTCACAGTTTAGGAGTCTCTAAGTCTGAATTCAGGGTATTGACTCTAGGGGAAGGCTTTCTCTCTGTCGGCTCTTGAGGAAGATCCTTGTTTCTTCTGAGCTTCTGCTCCTGGGCGATCTTCATGTGGCTTGGCAAGTCTCTTCTTCCCCCCTTCCCTTTCTCTCCCTTGCTTGTTTAATCTCTTTTATATCTCAAAAGAGATTGATTTAAAGCACCAAACCAAAAAACCAAACCTGTTGCTGTCGAGTTGGTACCGACTTATAGCGACCCTATAGGACAGAGTAGAACTGCCCTATACAGTTTCCAAGGAGTGCCTGGTGGATTCAAATCTTTTGGTTAGCAGCCGTAATTCTTAACCACTCTGCCACCAGGCTTTCTGATGTAAAGCACACCCTTCCCTAATTCTGTCTCATTAACATAACAAACATAACCCATTCCCAAATGGGATTATAACCACAGACATAGAGGTTAGGATTTACAACACATATTTTGGGGGGGACACAATTCAATCCATAACAGTTAGTCCTGGGAAGGATAATATCTTATGAATTTTTGTATGTTATATGTGTGTGTGTGTGTGTGTGTGTGTGTGGTTTTTGTTAGGTGCCATCAAGTCATTTCTGACTCATAGCAACCCTGTGTACAACAGAATGAAACACTGCCCAGTCCTGCGTCTTCCTCGCAATCCTTGGTATTCTTGAGCCCACTGTTGTAGCCACTGTGTCAGTCCATCTCATTGAGGGGCTTCCTCTTTTTCACTGACTCCCTACTTTACCAAGCATGATGTCCTTCCTTAGGGATTGATCCTTCCTGATAACATGTTCAAAGTATGTGAGACATAGAGTCTCACCATTCTTGCTTAAGGAGCATTCTGGTTTTACTGCTTCCAAGACAGATTTGTTCGGTTTTTTTGGTGGTCCATGGTATATTCAATATTCTTCGCCAACACCATAATTCAAAAGCGTCAATTCTTCTTTGCTTCTCGTTATTCATTGCCCAGCTTTCACGTGCATATGAGGTGCTGGGAACACCATGGCTTGGGTCAGGTGCACCTTAGTCTTCAAGGTGACATCTTTTCTTTTCAACACTTTAAAGAGGTCTTTTGCAGCACATTTGCTCAATGCAATGCATCATTTGATTTCTTGACTGCTGCTTCCATGTGTGTTGATTGTGCATCCAAGTAAAATGAAATCCTTGACAACTTCAGTCTTTCCTCAGTTTATCATGATGTTGCTTATTGGTCCAGTTGTGAGGATTTTTGTTTTCTTTATGTTAAGATGTAATCATACTGAAGGCTGTGGTCTTTGATCTTCATCAGTAAGTGTTTCAAGTCTTCTTCACTTTCAGCAAGCAAGGTTGTGTCATCTGCGTAACGCAGGTTGTTAATGAGTGTTCCTGCAATCCTAATGCCATGTTCTTCTTCATATAGACCAGCTTCTCAGATTATTTGCTCAACATACAGATTGAATAGGTATTGTGAAAGGATACAACCCTGACACATCTTTCCTGACTTTAAACCACGCAGTATCTCCTTGTTCTCTTTGAATGACTGCCTCTTGATCTATGTCAGGTTCCTCATGATCACAATTAAGTGTTCTGGAGTTCCCATTCTTTGCAATGTTATCCATAATTTGTTATGATCCAGATAGTCGAATGCCTTTGCATAGTCAATAAGACACAAGCAAACATCTTTCTCGTATTTCCTGCTTTCAGCCAGGATCCATCTGACATCAGCAATGATATCCATGGTTCCACATCCTCTTCTGAATCTGATTTTAATTTCTGGCAGTTCCCTGATGTACTGCTTCAACCACTTGTGAATGATCTTCAGCAAAATTTTACTTGCATGTGATATTAATGATATTGTTTGATAATTTCCACATTCAGTTGGATCACCTTTCTTTGGAATAGGCATAAATATGCATCTCCTCCAGTTGGTTGACCAGGTAGCTGTGTTCCAAATTTCTTGGCATAGACGAGTGAGCACTTCCAGCGCTGCTTCTGTTTGTTGAAACATCTCATTTGGTATTCTGTTAATTCCTGGAGCCTTGTTTTTTGCCAGTGCATTTAGTGCAGCTTGGACCTCTTCCTTCAGTACCATCATTTCCTGATCATATGGTCAGGCACACCTTAGTCCTCAAAGTGGCATCTTTGCTTTTTAACACTTTAAAGAGGTCTCTTGCAGCACATTTGCTCAGTGCAATACATCATTTGATTTCTTGACTGCTGCTTCCATGTGTGTTGATTGTGGATCCAGGTAAAATGAAATCCTAGCCAGTGAAAACGTTATGAATAGCACTGGAACATTGTCTGATACAGTGCTGGAAGATGAGCCCCTCAGGTTGAAAGGCACTCAAAAGATGACTGGGGAAGAGCTGTTTCCTCAAAGTAGCGTCAACCTTAATGACGTGGATGGAGTCAAGCTTTCGGGACCTTCATTTGCTGATGGGGCATGACTCAAAATGAGAAGAAACAGCTGCAAACATCCATTAATAATCAGAACATGGAATGTACGAAGTATGAATTAATTTTATGTGTATATACTTCTCTTTTACTGTAGCTGATTAAAGTCTTTAGGTGTAAAGACAATCTCATTTCTGTAGGGCCCTACACCGGCTCTTACATAGTGCAAAAACCAAAACCAAACCAGTTGCCATCAAGTTGGTTCAGAATCATGCCGACCCTGTGTGTTTCAGAGTAGAACTGTGCTCCATAGGGTTTTCAGTGGCTGTAGTCTTCCGGAAGTCCATCTCCAGGCCTTCTGAAGTGCCTCTGGGTAGGTTCAAACCACCAACTTTTTTGTTGGTAGTGGAGTACCACCTGGGCCCCATAAATCCTAAAGGAGAGAAGGAAAGAAATACTAATTTGCATTATTCAAAAGCACCCAAACTGCTGGTGATAGATGTATATATACTATGAAGACTGTCTGGATTCATTGTTCCATTTCATCTTTTTTATTTTTGCTTCAGGATGCATGTCACGTTCACAGAGGAAGTACTCCCTTCAGCCCATCCTGGAGAGGAAGATTCCAAATCGATACTTGGGCCAGCCCAGCCCCCTTACACACCCACACCTCCTGAGGCCAGGTAATGGCTTCTAACCATAATAACTATCTCCCTACTTAGGTGCTTTATCTGGAACCATGCTGTCCAGTTGAATTTTCTGCAGTGATGGAGATGTTCTAGATTTGCGCTGTTCAGCATGGTAGCCACTAGCCACGTGTGGCTACTGAACACTTACAGTGTTGCTGGTGCAACTGAGGAACTTAAATTTTTATTTGATTTTATTTTAAATTGAAACTTAAGTAGCTACATGTAGCTAGTGGCACTGTATTGGACAGTGCTAGTCTAGAATATAATACCATAAACCTACAATTCAAAATAATTAGTGAAAAATATATATTTCAGGATATTTTTAAGAAAAGTTCTATTACTTTCTAAGGCATAGTTTCTAGAAATATGTCTTCTAGTGTTCTAACTGTTGATTCCTTGCAAGCTAGTCTGTTAAAGCATTTTAGAATGTCTTTCTTGAAAGTGTTAAAATGCTCATTTCACAATTTTGTTTAACAAAAATTTCTATATAAATTATACAAGGTTTCCTGATCTGATTGTCACAGCTTTGAGAGGTGGGATCCCAGTTGATAAAGGTGATACAAAAACTTGATAAAAGTTTACTTCACTGTTTTTCTTTTTTCTTCCCTGCTATTAAGATCCCAGTGTTGCTGCTAGAAGATGTCATCCCCATTGCTCAAATGAAGACCTAAAGGTTAAAAAAAAAAAGACAGTTAAGGGGTACATTAAAGGGAATGAATATCATCCCAAAGAGTTAGTGTAAACCAAATGCTCTGTAGGAAAAAACAGTCAAATTTTCAAGGAAAATTAATTATTCTGCTTCTGCTGTGGGAGTTATCAGTAAGTGTATATTTACTGTGCAATCATATGTATTAAAATAATAATGTAACCAAGCCTATCCCCTGCGATCACCTTTTAGCAAAACAGCAGAGTGGCCAACAAAATAAAAGATATTACCTATAAGATCAGTGCCGTACTTAAAAACCATCAGTATGAGACCAAAAGGTCAACAGTTACTCAAAAGCAAAGATGAGAAGATAAGGGGGCAGGGAAACTACAGTACTGGAAAGGGAACAAACAGAACACAATTAAAGAGAATGTTGTCACATGGTGATAAATGTAACTGATATCACTGAACAATTTGTGTGGAAATTGTCAAATGGGAACCTAACCTACTGTGTCAACTTTCACCAAAAACTCAATAAAATTTTATTTTAAGATAATAATAATGTAAATTGCCTTTAGAAATATGTTGCTCTTTCACTATCTTTACTCAGTGAATGATACCAGTGTGTCTCAGTGCGGGCTTCCTTTTGGTGATTCTTCATCAGACTGGAATTCCTGCTGGGAAGTCGGCTGAGACTCAGGAAATGCAGCTCACCACTGAAACACACAAGAAATCAGAGTTTTTCAAAGCTGTAAGGTAAGATTAATAGCAGTCAAGTTGGTATTAACTTTAAGTCTTTCCCTACCCTATCAACCTACCTGTACCCTCAATTAAAAAAAAAAAAGGTAAAATTGATAGTAAGTTCTACCAGCTTTGAAAATGATTGATTTCTCGTGGTGAGATACTTTTACATGGTGAGCTGCATTTTCCAAGGCCTTGAACCTAATAATTGTATTGTCAAGAGATGGCCTCTGTGTCTAGACTGTTTGTTATGTATGTTATGTGCATGTTGACTATATATTAAAATGTAAATAAATACACATTCATACACATATACGTTTGCATATGTTCATATCAACTATGGGAGAAAGGGGATGTCTGTTTCCTGGACATAGAATTTTTGATATGGGATAGAAGTAGATGGAATTGTGAAACCAAACAATTAGTGTTTTAAACTTTAGAGAAGTCATGGGGTACTATATAGTGGCAAAAACTGTATCCAATATATTAATCATCTATCTTTATCTAGAGATGCAAAGCTTGTAGAAGTATTAAAATGATTATGGGAATACAGGGGAAGTCACCACCATTGGACTAAACCAAAAGCTAAGAAGTTTCCTGAACATGACCAAACACTTTGAGGGACAGTGTAGTGGGGACCGGGGGACCATGGTTTCTGGGGACAACTGGGTCAATTGGCATAACAAAGTTTGTTAAGAAAAGGTTCTGCATCCCACTTTGGTGAGTGGCATTTGGGGTCTTAAAAGCTAGTGAGCAGCCATCTAAGATGCATCAAATGGTCCCAGCCTACCTGGAGCAAAAAAGAATGACAAACATCAACGATACAAGGAAAATAGCCCAAGAGACAAAAGGACCACATAAACCAGAGACTCTACCAGCCTGAGATGAGAAGAACTAGATGGTGCCCAGCTACCACCAATGACCTTCCTGACAGGGAACACAACAGAGAGTCCCTGACAGAGCAGGAGGAAAGTAGGGTACAGAACTCAAATTCTAATAAAAAGACCAGACTTGATGGTCTGACTGAGACTGGAGGAACCCCAGAAGACATGGCCCCCAGACTCTCTGTTAGCCCAGAATTAAAACCATCCCCAGGGCCAACTCTTCACACGAAGAGTAGACTGGACTATAAGACATAAAATGATACTCATAAAGAGTGTGCTTCTTAGTCTAGTAGATACATGAGACTAGATGGACAGCTCCTATCCAGAGGCGAAATGAGAAGACAGAGAGGGTTAGCAGCTGGTTGAATGGACACGGGAAATCGGGTGGAAAGAAGGAGTGTGCAGTCACTTATAGGGATGGCAGCTAGGGTCATATAACAATGTACGTATAAATTTTTGTATGAGAAACTAACTTGAGCTGTAAACTTCACCTACAGCACAATGAAAAAAAGGGAAAAATAAATAAATAAAATGATTGTGGGGCAGAGGAAACAAATTTTAAGAAACAGTGAAAGGCATTTGATTTTTTTTTTTTTTTTTTTTAATCTCTTTTACAGAGACAGAGTCAGTTTGTTAGTTTAGGGGTATAAGATTATGTCATCTATTTCCTGGTTTGCTCCAAAAGGTTTCATGTTTGGCATAGTTATTTGGTATTACTATGTATACTTTGTAATACTTAAAACTTTTGGAAAATGTTTCAATGGAAATGTGAACATTTCAAATGGAAAACCTTTCAACAAATATATATATGAAAAATTATAGAATATAATTAAGTGTACTTTTAAAAAATTATTCAGAGTAAAGTCAGTTGAGATTTTATTATATGTATCCTTCTAGACTTGTTTCTTATGTTGAACAGTGTCTCTGTCTGTCTATGCATACCCTTTGTATACTGCTCAGTTATTTCCTTAAATTCTAAAAAGTGAAATTGCTGAGTTAGTTCCTTCTGAATTTTGGGGAACTGCTTTCTCTAGATTTCTCCTTGGCTGTTCCTACCCAAGTTTACTGAAGCAGCAGTAGCTTGGTAAATATTCAGCTGAATGATACAGGCAATAAAGGAATTCTGTTCTGGCTGCTGTTGCTTTAGCTAGCACCATAGAGTCAGGCTGACTCCCCCAAATTCTCCTAGTGATTTTCCATACTTAACATTTCCTTAAATCTTAGTGTTACAGACCATTTCTATGTTTTATGACAGTGCCATCCCTGTGCTAAGGACTGTGTCTATAGAAACAGAAAATGTCAGTTCAGCCCCTATGATCACTGATATGCCCTCCAGTTGTCACCCAGGAAAAAAAATTATTCTGTGTAGGAAGGCAAGTGGCATTCTGAGCTGTATGATATTATGAAGTATGAATAATTTTTTTAAAAAAAAGTCTTTCCTCATTGAACATCGAGAAATCCAACTGAGAGAAGTCTTAGTATAAAAATTATTTCAAGTTTGAAGAATGATATACTTAAAAAAATTTTTTTATTAAGAGGTAAAATTTACATACAATGAGATGCATAGATCTTAAATATGCAATTCAGTAAGTTTTGACAAAGGTATATATCAATATAACCCACATATCAATTAACACATGGAACATTTCTATCACCCCAGAAGTTTCTCTCATTACCCCTCCAGTCAGTCCTCACCTCTATGGGCAACACTGCTCTGGTTTCTGTCACCATAGATTTTTTTCCCTATTCTTGAACTTCGTGCAGTATATACCCTCTCTGTCTGGCATGTTTTGCTCGACATATGTAAATAAAATCTATTCAGAGTATTTTTATTATTTATTTGGCCATTTCATTTTTTCGGAGGTCTGTGCTTTATAAAGCAAATACTTGTTAGCTTGATTCTTTCCCCCCATTCTCCAGTTGCATAGTAATAGATCATTTTTTGAACTACTTCCTTACACAAAGTGAAAACTACCTAGCTAATATTAAACAATTATTTTTAAAGACCTGCTGTGCTAAAATCCTCATCTGCTTACTTTCAGGAAATAATTAAACTACGTACCTAGATTGTCGCAAAGACCTGTATCTTTCCATCCATTGTCAGACTTTATAAAAGTTTCTTCTCTGGATTTTCTGCTTGGCCAATAAAATGTGAAGAACGTTTTTCTTGTCCTCTTGAGAGGCCAAATCTTAAGTGTCCTAGAAGAGTTTTTTCCTTCTTGGCTACGGAATCTCAGAATTGATTGTGAGACTTTGCTGTTTGCAGAGTCCAACTTTGACAGCTAGTCTTCTGGCTGGTTCAGAAAGCTTCTCGGAATAGCCTCTGCATCCTTAAGTGATTCCACCTTGACAAAATACTTTGTTTCTTAATGCATTACAATTTGACAAAGTTGCCCGAATGTCTATTCAGGTACAGTTTTATCAGAAGAAATTCAGGCCAGACTGACTCTAATGGTTAGTTCTATGACCAAAGGTCATTAACAACTGCCAAGTTTACCTCTGGGGTTAAAGTTCATTGCTTTATTGCACCCTTTTTTTTCCCTCCTTCAAATGAAAAGGGATCTTTTGCTGTGGATAATTTTTCTATCATGACTGAGAGTTCTTTGCCACTTTGAGATTTCATAAGTTTGGAAGCATTTAGTTAATAATCATTCCATATTGTTGGTGATTAGTAGGCTTGGGAAGTAGAGGGTGTTTTTAAATTTCTCATACAGTCATTTGTA